AACTTGGAGCAGGAGCTAGGAAGGACATCTGGGAGCCAGATCCTTCTCTTCGAGTCCATTGCAAGGAGCTGGCTTGGACAAATGAGAAGCGTTCTTGTTTCTCTGCTATAACCTGCAAAATGTGATGAGTAGGTGATCTAGGTTGTAGGAAAAGGTGGCATCTAGGGAAATCATTGTGCTTTTCATGTCTTCTAGCTTGGTGAATAGTCTTATGGCCTTTTTAGCACCATGAGGCAAACTTTGAGGCCCTGCGTTGCCCTCTGCGCTGCATGTTCTGTAATGAATGTCCCTTGGGGTGGTGCGGGGTGACCTGTGGCACTGACTGGTGTTGGGTGGTAGGATTAGCAAAATTAAAGCTAGTTTTCATTGGAACAGCGTGGGTTGACGGGGCTCAGGAGTGGATTACCATCACAGCTGCTCTGAACTGCACACCAGGAATTCAGAGGCAGACAAACAAGCCAAGCAGTGAAGCTCTCTGCTGTTTTTGTCTCTTTTGCCTCGCAGCAGGGACTGAGCCAGGGGACAGGAGTGTAGGCATTGCAGAAGTTCACGTGAGTGGATAGTCTCTGGCATGAGTAATTTGTTGGACTGAGTTGACTTATGTTTGCTTTTTGTTGAATTCACATTGGCTGGGCCAAAGATAGCATCCTTTTTCTTTTTAAACCCGTTTTTCCGTATTCTGCTGGCTGAAAGGGAGGGCGTGCAAGCGTCATGTCTGCAACAATGCCATAAATCCAGACAGAAATAGAATTAGCAGTTCTTTCTGGTTCCGGTGTTTGTATCTGCGAGGTAGTGAGCTTAACCAGTCGGAACAGAGCTGTGACTGAGCGAACCTGTTGTGCCTTGGGACCTGGCACTTGGGTTTTGTTCCAGAGCATATCATAAAACTTTTATAGCAACGTCATGACGAAAAGCATGAGAAGAGAAATAACTTAACCCTTTCTTGCTAAAGTTAGCACTGCAAGTTCTTCTCCTGTTTCCACATGCAGCAAATCCCTTAGTTGAGTCTGGAGCTCTGTGGGGAGAAAAATGCAAGATTCGTGGAGATGGGGAAGAGAGAGCAAGCAGAAACCTGTCTTTGTGAGGCTTACTGTTTCTTAAATGTACTTAAAGTCCAGTCCTATCCTAATAGGCCCTTACACACATCGGTAGCATTATTCATTGGCACTGTTGTACTGAATTGTGCTCCAGCATTTGTAGAATTGGGCTCTTAATCTATGTTGATTATGTTTTAATTGAATAAATAAATCTTTTACAGAGCCCAAAATCAATAGAGATGTTTCCATGCTTTTTTTTTCCCCTAGGTTTCCTAAGGACATTTAATTTTTACAACCTTACAACTTGTTCTGCAGCATTTGCTAGTCAGCTATTGCGTAATTGTTCTGGGGAATGAGAACCTGGGAATAACATGGCCCAGAAATGCTAAGAAGCAGAAATGAAATCGGCTGATCTTCTCATCTGCCACCATCCCTCCTCTCCAGGGTCAGGGTGCCAAACAGGCCGTGCGTGGGCTCCAGTTTTATTCCTGGGTCTGCCATTGACTTGATTTATCACCTCAAGTGTTGGGGCCTTGGGTGCCCTTCGCATCTCCCCGCCTTTCCAGGCTGGCTTTTGGCTGCTTAGCTTAAAAATTCTCCGGAGTGGAGCAATCACAGTTTTTGTGTCTGGGAAGCCTGTGGCTGCCCTGTAGTTACAGGCCGACAACTGGAGGATGGAGAAAAACCAAACAACAGCCATGAAGCGCACTAATAGTGGAAAGGAAATTGGACTTTTGCAGATTGAAAAATCCAGGTGCCTACAGCTAGCCAGGAGTAACGGTCTGGGGTAATTCCTGTGAAAAGTACTTCTTTTTTTGAACAAGTGTTTGGATGGAAAAACTTTGGCTGTATAATAAAAATAGGCAAGAAGAATTGAGTTTGTACGTAGTTTCTAACCTGACTCTCAGCCTTTTAAATGACGTGTTCTTGCATAAAGCACACTGGAGCTTCCATTTTCTTGTTAGTCAAGCCAAATTTATTGTAATCCAATAAGATTTAATAATCATTAGGAACTAATGAATGCCTTAGCACGGATAAGCTTGGCAGATCAGAGCCTGCCTGCTTTGCATAGTCTGTCTCTCTTTGACCAACTTGCCATTTATGTGTCGGATTGATGACTGTGGAGTTCTATAAAACAGGTAATGATCAAGTGCTCCTGAAATGAAATTTAAATAAAAACTATCTGGAGCAAACAGTGAGCCAAAGGGAAAGGCAAATTTTTGGCTTGGAAAATTGAAGTAACTTGGTGAGACTGAAGGCAAACAGAACTGGACTGTCTGTGGGGAGGAGCTGGTATGGTCTGAACAGGCTTTACAGTTGAAATTAGGTGAGTTGTTAGGTAATTCTTTAGTATTTTTATTGTTGTAGTAGTCAAGCTGTGAGCGAGCTCTTCCGCACTGAGCTCTGTAGTTGCATGTGTGTGGAGAGACTCCGTCTGGAGAATTTGCAGATAAGTCAGACATGGAAGGACAGAACAAAAATACTGACTATGACTCAGGTTGAGAAAAGACTTTCAATGCGTAATATTTCGCTTGACTCAAGAACTTTTGTTTCTGCGCATGCCCTAAATGTGGCTGGCTAAGTTGGGTAGGCTCCTGGCACCTACATCACACCTGAAGGGGATCCTTAGTTGGTTTTCTTGAACTTGTAATTCCTGCCAGAGCCTAATTTCCAAAACACTGAAAACGTTGAGGAGGGAGATGTTTCCTAGCTTGTACCCGCCTTCGTGCACTGCTGGGAGGTACTGCTGTTGGGTTGGGCTGTACAGCACAGATCTTTCCCAGAGGTTTTGGACTAGGTTGATTTTTCAAAAACAAAGGGTATGAACGAGTCCTCTTTTAAAATGCTTATTCTAGCAGGGATTGCAGTGCAACCCCTGAACAATAGCTTGGGGATCACATACTCTCCTGTGGTGCTGAGACCTGGGTTTTACTTTTGGAGGTGGGTGGTGGTGGTGAATATTCACGTCTCTTCCCTTCCAAGTGAGTGTCCCTATCAGCCGGGGTACAAGTGGGGCTGGGCTGTTTTGAAAGCAGAGAGAAAGCACAATGTATTGAATCAGAAAGGATCCTGGCTGTAGGTTGGTATTTGCTCTGGGCATGGGCTTTCCTGCGTAATAGCCCTTTTCACAAGGACCTCATTTATGTTATTTTGTGACCGCTTATTGCAAATCATGCCCTTCACCTTGAATCTGCTAGAAATGAATTGAACTTTTTCACGCCTCCTTGAAGGAGCTCATTTTTTAGATGGAAATTGTGAAGAAGTGTTGACTCAGACAGGTACAGCTACCATGGATTGATTTTTAAAATAATAACAGGTGCAGGTGGCCGGTCGCTGGCCACTGTGGCTTACAGCTCTGCTCTGTACAAGCAAGCTCTGTGCTCTGGGATGGGGATGTGGCAGAAGAGATGCTCTCAGAATGGAGGTGCTCCAAGCCTACCCCAGCCTGGCTGCCGAGCCAGGCGTCCAGTTAAAATACATCTTATCTATCTGCGGGAGCAGGGATTGTCCTGCCTGCTCACCTCGGTAACAGATTGCATGCAGAGTTGCGTAATCCTCCAAGTCAATTTTAGACAATGGGACCATTGTGGGAAATCCATGAAGAAAAGCCCTAAAGCAGCCTGAATCCCTGTGAGATGGAGGCTTGGTGCTGGTTCTTGGAGAGGGCTATAGCGTTTCAGCATCTCTGACCCTGCAACCCAAGAGATGTTGCCGGGGCATGGTAGCAGCTCCATGAGGACAGTAAGAAACCATGCGCCAGGCCAAGTGGTTGGAATAACTGGAACTCTTCTTTCTTCTTTAAGGTGAACCCGGGTGGCAAGACACTTGAGGAGAGGCGGTCCAGTTTAGATGCAGAAATCGACTCTCTGACCAGCATCCTGGCCGACCTAGAGAGCAGCTCTCCTTACAAACCTCGATCTCAACAGGTTAGTGGCGCATTGCGTAAACAGAGAGTGGGAAAGTGGCCAGCATTGACTGCTGGAGTCAATTTGCTAACCGCTTGGTATTTGTTGTGAGCAGGCATGCCAGTTCCTCCTGATAGCATCCAGATGTGGCTGTCAATGGGGAGAAGGGCGCAGCCGCTCTGAAGGGGGCACTGGCTCAAAAGCTGCCATACCTCTGAGCGAAGGGCCTCTGATCCCGATTGTTAGATTGCCACGGAGATTGTTAGAAAAATACTTGCAGAAAATGGCATTTCACTCGCCTTGACTTTCCACCAACAATAGCTTGTGAATTAAAACCTGCTCAGTTCACAAGTACTTTTACGCTTGTATTTTTTGTTGCTTTTCTGTTTTGTTAACTTTTATCTGTCACGCAGCCAGAAGGATCCAGATATCCGCGTCTCAAGTTGTTTTCTTTTGTTCTTGTCGTCTAATCAGTGGCGATGAAGTGGCTTGGATCATAGCTCAGCTGTCAGGGTGGCTGTAGCCCAGCAAGGCAGACTGGAATTGTGCTTAATCTGCTGTGTCTAGACGAGGACTGCAGGGGTGACAGCAACTCAGCTAATTTTTGACACTCATCTAGGTAGTGCTTGAGTGGAGCTATTTAAGTTCTGGTAAGATGTCATCTATTTATCAGAGGAAGTGCCCCAGTGGTACTTGAAAAAGGGCAATTCTTGAGATCTCTAAAATCATCCCAGATGTGTGTGTGCCCAGTTGTGCAGCGCCTTCACTTCCTAATCTCATGACTAGTCTCATTGCTTATACGTATACAGGTCTGTAGGCATGTATGCAGCTGTATGTATATGTTGTGTTTGTCTTACCAGTGTCAGCCCTAAATAAAACCCCAAAAGTCAAAAGAACCAAAGGGAAAGTTGGCTGATGCAGTGCACACCCATTATCCATATGGGCCATCTCTTTAGTTTGTGGCTTTTTTGGTTCTTTTAATTGTTATATTTGTTTTAAGTAATTGAGAACCGATACCTTTGGAGCAGAACTAAAGTAGTGATCAGAGTTCGTTTAGATTTGTTCTTAAGAATGTTGAACTTAGCAAAAGCAGAGTTAAATCAGATTTATGCACTTTTGAAAGCGTCTGTCTGCACGCAGAGGCTCTGGTGTGGTGGCCTGTGTGGTTTCCGTCCCTTCTGCAGGGACCTCCCGATAAATTCTTTTTTCATTCTAGCAGCATGTACACAGTTATTGCATAAACTTACAGACTTGGCCTTGAAAAACAGTCTGATTTGGGTCAGTCAGTCAAAAAGAGCAACAACGTAAACCAGATGCAATTCAGTCCTTTTCCCAGTGGGTTTTTGTTGTTGCGATAGAAGAGACAAGTTTTAACAGTGATAGCGCTCAGGCACTGCGTCGAATAACCCGTGTTCGTTTTGTTTGCATGGGCCAAACATACGAATGCACACTGTTACTGGGAAATGCTTTTTAGTGTCAAAACACCGTGACAGTTAACTGGAAGAGATTTGTGCTCACCATTTTCTTTGGCAATGCCTGCGGTCAGCTCCAGCATCTTTGTAGAGACATGTAACTTCTGTAACCACCTCGCTGAGCATTTGCAGTTTGCTGGCAGTACGGCTGACTGTCTCCTGATACTTCTTCCCTTGGGATCTGGCATTCTCTGAATAGATTGGTTTTTCACTTTTATTTTGTACCTAGAGCAGTAAATGAATAAATAAATAAATCACAGTGGTCAAATGCAAATTTCTGCAGGTGTATTTGAGTTTCTGGAGGATTGGAAGGCATAGCCCAAGTTTTGGACTTGATCTGACTTAAGTTCATCACCTTCCAAGACGACGTGTGCTGCTCGGTGCACGCGCTCGTTCCCGTGGCTTTTTGCCCACAGTTCAGGTGGGGCCTCTGAAGACTTGTCCCCTGTAACCAGGAGCGATGGGATGCTGCTGCTCTCTGGTGTATTACAGTAACTGTGTGCGATCCAGTGGGCAGAAGGAGCTGAATTTCATCTCCAGGACCAAATCCTAACTTTCTTTGTTCAGTTTGTCAGACTTTTGAGGATTTATTGGTTAATGTAATGATGTCCCGTGAAAAGTACAGCTATAGCAACTTCTAACTATAGCTGTTAGAAAAAGAAAATGCCAGAGTTGAATGTATCAACTGCTGTAATTAAAGAGTACTGAAACAAGTCCTTGAAAGGTGGAACCAGAATGTAAAGCTTTGATATTTTCCTTTGTTTGATCTGTACTAAGTATTAAAACTGGTGAGTCATTTGATGGTCTTATAGTAGGATAATAGATTAGGCTGCAAATTGTGAGGTACTTACTCAGAACATCAGCACGTTTATTGGATTACACCTTAGCTGACCTTCCCAAATTTATCAGGATAATGGCTGCAGATAGGAAAATAGAGTTACAACTTGTTTTCAGAGAAGATGCTTCCAGTTGTGCTTATGTGGTTAAAGCACTATAATAATTTTACAGGTATACCTTGCCCTTGGGGATACTCCTGTTCTGGAATAAGAGGAATTTTGTTGTTACGTTTCTTTTTTATTTTATCTTCAAAATAGTTTTAAAGCAACATAAACTAAACTGTAAAATAGTCCTCTCTCACTGGAGTAGGAGTGATAGCGGGATAATGACAAGCAGTTTATTTAACACACCCTAAATTCACACAGAGGGAAGCTCTTTTGATCCTTGGTACGAGATTCAGGATTGCAGTGAGAGACACTGCCCTGGGACGTGCCCCTGAAGCAGAGGGATTTGTACCCTCCGCAGTAGGTTTGGAAAGTCCATGATACTTGTCAGAATGGGTGGGCCAATGTCAGCCCTGGACAATTCCCTTTGGCCAAGCAGACCTGCTGTTGAGGACATGGATGAGTATAAATCTCTGCACCATCCCTGCATTGGTTACCTGGGCATCACTCTGGTAACATTTTTTGTGTACCAGGCAGGTGACAAGGACATTGCCATGAGCTAAAAATGTCCACCATTAATAGAGGGCAGGGAGAGAGTTTTGACACCCGCGGTCAGCAGCACCCTCCTTGTACCCAGTGGTCCTGCCTAATTCAAGGCAGCTGAGCTGGAAAGTGGAGGTAGAGGAGTCACCCAGGTCCTGCTGGCTGCTTCCTATGCCTCGGGCAGAGGTGGTAGGATGCTGTTGTCCTGCAGAGCTGTGTTGCCCTCTCTGAAGTGATGAGTTTGAAAAGCATTTTCTCAACATAGATCCTTTACGGAGCAGAAAAGATCTTTCCTCCCCCATAGCAGCAGGTTTGGTGGGAGGAGGTCCTTCTGCGAGTCTAGTACCCCAGTGTGAGTCAACCCTGATGTTGCCGAACCTCAAAGTGACGGATTCTCTCAGGCTTCGTTTCTGGTCAGTTCTTGTATCTGTCTTGAGGCAGTTGTTGAGAGAGTCACCTGCAGCAGAGGTTTTCTGGGCATTGATAGTTTACTTCGTATTGGCTGTCAGCAACATGGCGGGTGAGAAGCAGCTTTTGATCACCATCACCTCAGCCCCGGGCTAAGCCCATGACTTGCAAGTGAAAGTCTCTCTGACAGAGTCACAGAAGCAGTCAAAAGTGATTAAAATGCTAGGTTTTTTTCTTTCAAAATTGTGCATACCAAGAAGAGCAGAAAATTACAAGACTAAATCATGATCTTTAGCTGCAACACAGCAGTGTCTAAGGATGCTTTCTGTCATGTGAGGTGGTGTAGGAGAGACCATATTTCAAGAATTCAGCTGGAGCTGGAGTTTTAGAAAGGACCAAACATCACCTGAGCTTGAGAGGTTTCTGTGTGACCTTCACCAGCACGGCCAGTTCCAGCCTTCTGGTGCAGTGAATTGAAATGGAGGAGACCAACATGATCTCAAAATTACCATGACTGCAATGGCATGTTAATAGATGAACGTGCCTTAGGTATTGTTTGAAGAACTGCAGATGCATTATTAAAAAAGCTAATTAATATTTTCCTCCTGTTTGGTAAAGTTTAGAAATGCTAGTGTCATGAGTAAAGTACAGAGCTCTTCTTGTGTAGCTGCAATGTGTTTTCTGTTTACATATCACACCTTCTAAATTGCAGTAACCCACTGGAAAGTTCAGAGGCAGAGAACTCGCTATGCTCTTCATTAGTAAAAGGAGGTTGTATAGACAAGGCATTTAGGTGCATAGCTTCCATGGATGGGAGCAGGGGCTATGCGTAAATTGGGTGAACCCTGACTAGGGGGCCTGGTGAATGCTGTGGTCAGCTGGCTCCTCTATTAAAGGGTATTTTCCCCAATTTCTACCTGTTCTGCTTAAATCCTTGCTTAAGAGATGAGAGCAGCAAGGCCTTAAGAAAAAAACATGCCAAATTTCAGCCCATAAAATAAATGTTTGCATTTTTTTCAAAACAAGAAAACTTTGTGACTCTGGAGAGAGGGCTTCCAGCAGAGGCTGTGAAAATGAAATACTGGAAATAGTAGCATACGAAAGCTCAGGATTTTTTGTCCCTGCTGTGAATTATGTATTGAATGCTGATTGCTTTGTCTGGAATTGGACACCTACCTCCTGAAACTCTAGACTTTTATCCTGAATTTCCAACAGATTGTCTGTTTGGCAAAATGGGACTTTGTGGGAGATGTACCAGGCAGTAAGATGTACCTGGTCCAAAGGTAATTAGCCTTTTTTTAAAAGCAAATACTGGGTGGCCAAAATTTATGGAGTATTTAAATAGCAAAAAACCCTATGCCTTGATCGTCAAGATCAACTCTACTTGTGTACAGCTCTCAGAGGCAGCTTGATCCAGAGGGGACTGGGCTGGCACTCTGGAGACCTGTTTCATTCCCAGCTACCACCACTGTGCTAAATGACCTCGAACATAGCATTTCTACTCTGCTTCCTCTCGGAATCTTCTGTCCTTGGCAACCTCCTCAATGTGATTTGCCTCTTACTACCCATGTGCATGGCATCTTGCAAAAATGAAACCTTGGTCTGGGTTGAAGGCCTTTAGGTGATATGGTTGTACAAATAATGAAAAAGAGAAATA